AACAAAATCAATAAAACACGACCAAACACTCATCTATAATTTACTACATCCATCCATCTGATCGTTAATATAAATATATGTGACAACATAATAGCTTTTGTCTTGCATTGCCCACACTACAATAAAAGTCGTACAGTAGCACGTATGTATCGACTGCGTAATTCTTCCAGTTACCAAGCAAAGATAATAATAATTTTTGTAATAATGATAATAAAACAATAGCAATATTAAATACTTCATATCTCGTATCTACTACATAACATCAGCATATAAAGAGGATTTCATTCACTTACGCCCACACATCTTCCATTACTCATCAGTTCACTTATACTCAATAATTCGCTTATTTAGTCACACATTTACTTCACTATTATTATTAATATAATTATTGTTACTACTACTACCATTCTCATTATTGTTAGTGAATCTGATTATTTGATTACTCATCTAAGATTCAATGCGCACCCGTAAGCTCGACTCGATATTTTGATTAATTAAATTTTCTTGTGTAATGACCAGAAACGCAACGCACGTACAACAATAATATGACAATAATAACAAAGATAAAGATAACAACAGTAAGACGGATGTATAATAGTAATAATAATACCTATAATAGCAATAAATATTCTTCTTATTATTCAAGTGGTTTTTCTGAAAGCAAGCTTCAAGACAGCAATTTAGCTCAAGCAATATCTCGTCTAGACTAGACGATATTGTCAAATTTTTTCATTCAGCAAAAGATAATTTGTTTGAAAATTTAGTGTTGAATGATGTTCTCACATACACAAAATAAATGCCTTCATGAATATATTCGTTGCTCATTTCTATCCAGCTGCACATACGCAACTAGAAACTGAACGATTCTTATGGTTGACCAACGTATCAACGATACCATTGAACAAAACATGAATCTGAAAAACAAAAGAATACGATAATTAAACAATGAAGCACTCTTTAACATACTTCTCTCATCACAACTTTCTGCTCGTCATTCCCTCATTCCACTTCAAATACCTCAGGGAAATGAATTCTTTTACGAAATTAACATTCCTTATTCAACCTGCTCACTCATACACACACATACACAATCATTATTTACAATGAATCCATTGCAAATCGCTCAATATTACGCATTGCCTCTAGGCATCATCTTCTCGGTGCTTCTTTCTCTGTAGCTCGTTTCTGTGAGCGTTTACTGAGATTCTATCCAGTCACGCACTCACTATTCCAATATTCCAACGTACTCATTTTCATTTTGAGACGATTACATTCGGCTTCAAATTTCTTACTCTTTTTTTTCTGTTACAATTTTCTATGGTCTCATTTTTCAAGCAAACAATTTTCGACATTTATTGTAATCCAGCATTTATTTTTATAACATCATTCTTATCCAAGAAAAAGAATGCATCTTTCTTTTCTGATCGTTTCTTTTTGCTTCACTCTTCTCTACAACTTCATTAGAGTTCCCGATAAAGAACGATATTATGATCAACTGATTGATCAATGAATGAATACATGTCGTTTTATCTTGCTTCTGATGATAACCATAACGGTGATACTAACCACTGACTTACCGACTGTTAAACTAATAACCAAAATGTACCAAAAAAATTACTACTTGTTCATACTCAAATAAAACAAAAACGAACAAACAAACCAACAAATACACATATGTATATTCATATATGAATGTACTGCTTACGCTGAAGTTTTTTTTTGCTTAAATGTCCATCAACTTATCTTCATTCTATTAAAATTCCACCAAATCCTTCTAAAAACTTAACTCTTTTCGTTTTAGCTCAATTCACTGACATCCTCCCATACATTCATCCATCTGTCTATCCATTCAAGCATTCATTTATCAAAACTTCAATCTTTCCATCTTCCACAGTATCTTCAACTAAATCAAAAAACAAACTAAAATGCTTAACTCCCTTCCGTTCATCCATGGTCTCCTCTCCGGAAAAAAAGGAAACTCTTTGTTTACGATTCCATATCAATGAATCAATCATGCTGAATCTTTAAATATCGCTCCATAGTTGCGATATTTAAAGATTCAGTGAAACAATCATCAACCTAAACAATCATCATTGAATGGCTTCAGTGAAACAAAACTAAGCAACCACATAAACATACGTATAAATAAACATCACGCATTTCATCTCAACTCTTATTACGAACTGATTTCTGCATAACTTTTCCAACAAGTTAACAGTTGATCAAGGAGGCACACACTGGCTGGAAAGATCTTGCCAGTACGTTTTTTTTACTCTTTCGATTCAATTTCATAAAAATTTATTCGCATTTTTCGTCTTCATCATTCTCATCCTCTTCAACAACACTAGCTCAATTTTTACTTACTTAACTCAATTCACTAACAATAAGTTTCTTCGGCTTAAGCTTATACATGCCAATGTCGTTCTCAAGAGGTAATCAACTCCTTTTTTTTCGTGTGTGTGTGCGTGTCGTCTCATAAAAATTTCCACCAATTTCAATCGCTTTCTATCCGTTTCAACCATCAACATCATCATTACAATTTTCATCATCATCATCATGAAATTCTTTCTCATTTTTCCTCATCTTTTCCACTTTTCGCATTTTCTTCTTGCCATCGATATCCTCAAGATTGTTGCACATCGATGAAATTCCAATTTCACTTTTTTTCATTCTTTGTTTCCAATCAAATTCTCATTTCTTATTCTGCATTTCGTAATTTTTCTTCATTTTCCCCAAAACACATTTCCTTTTATCAAATTCACTTCACATTCCTATTGTCACTTAGCATCCATTCCCCAGTAAACGTCCCTCCTTTCACTCCTTGCAATTCCCTCCGAGCACTCATCTCATACGACAACAACACCACAACCTTACTACTCCCAATGTCATTCTCATTCTTATCACATCACCTTATTTAAACTCCTTTTCAAGTCAACTCCAAATTCCGAACACTGCAAAAAACCGAATCCCACAGAACATACTCAATGAAAACAAATTAAATTGCACATGAAAAGGAATTCAAATAATTCATAAATAGAAAGAAACACATAAACAATTTCTTTACGTTATTCAATTATTATGCAACACAAAAATGGTTTTAAAAATTTTTCTCGCCAGTCAGACGATTCCCTTGCGCTTACACTGTTACCATTTCCGACTGATCAAACGTTTGGGCTTTTTTTTCAACTTTTTCGTCTTTTGAAATTCATATCCTCAAAAATTTTCGCTAGTTCCATCCAACATCAAAAGCTTCATTCCTGAAGCAAAATTCACCCGAAACAATAAAATATTTCAGATCTTCGTTAATAAAACAATTTTCATTGGTCATTCCTTACATTTTATATAGCGTTATGATAGCAATAATTGTTAAGCCAGGAAAAATAAAATGAAAACGATTCGAAGAAAAAGAGACCGCAGAATGCGAATGAAGACAAACAGCAAACGCGCAGAAAACATAACGAGCAGATGACGAGGAGAGGAATCAAAATAACGATATCAATAATAGCAGCAAATGAAACGATGGATACGAATGCAATATAATCGAATCAATCAAACGAAACATTTAATCTTTTACAATTAAAAATTAAAACCTGACCTTTCCTTAGTTCTGCCCTTGTGTCCCTTCTCGGTAGATATTATATTCGGTAAGATCCATTATGTAATTGTTATATTCCTATATTCGTCGTACCACATCACATACACATGGATTTCTCGTTTTGTCATAACCAGCCACATTTTACGCCGGACTGCCATTTCCTGTTGTAACCGCCCTCATTCTATAAATGAATAATTTATTGGATATATCAATGAACTCACAATCAAAAACTTATTTCGACTAAGAATGAACAACTAACAAAATTATTTACGGGGCTGAATAATCAAGTCGGTTTGAAAAGAGAACAAGAACCGCTTGAAATAAGTTGTTCCAAAAACTTAGTGATAAAATGAAACAACTTAAAAATAACAAAATGATAGAGAACCAAGTAATCAAGAACGCGTTCTCGCAATGATTTTAACTAGAACAATAATATCAGAAATAATACGCCAAATGGTAATACTATTATTAAAAATTATAACAACGATCTAAAATTATATTCCAAGATAGTAGCATCGTATTGCAGGAAATCATCCTGTCTCTTTCAAGAAATCAACTGCGAACACAATCGGTCAAGTTTTGAATTAACCATCAGATATATTCTTCAGTTTACACTATATAATTTTAGCATTGAGCAAAACAACGAAAATTAAAACATTTCAATCATTTGTTGTTATATCGTATGTTATAATCGCGTTAATTTTCAAAATATAATTAATCACTCGGTTACGTATTTAAAAACCAAAACAACACCGCATACAATACAACGGTTATCAAAAAGTGCGCATGGTTGACAAAACAGTTACGATGTTGAATAATTTCCTAACTGCAAAAAATTAATAATAATAATAATAATAATAATAATAATAATAATAGCAATGGCAATAATAATATTAACAATAAGATCTATGAATACTGATAGCAATAATAATAATAATAATAATAATAATAATAATAACGACAACAATAACAAGAACAATAATAACATAACAATAACAACAATAGTGACTTATCAGTTTTAAAAAAATTGAAACTGATGAATAAAACTATTCATGTTATTGATATTATTACAGTTGGCAATATTATGCATTGAAAAACGAGGAGTAAATAAACGATTAATTGTACAAATGAAAAAATGAACCACAAAAACAGCTGCATCATATAATAAATAAATGCACGGCAGAATTTGCTGAGATTATGAATGAGTAGGTGTTCCGTTCTTATATTACCAAGTACTTATACATTTCCAAGATAACATTAATCAATCATAATCTTAATAAAAATGAACAAATCGCTTGCCAACAATACATACATATACAAATAAATTATGTTCAAATGCATAAAGAAAGAAGCAAGCGAATGGAATAAGTAATGTTAAATAAATCTTTTCATGACAACTTCGAATCTATGATGACGATTCGGTTGACGATGACGACGAAGAGGATGATGGTAGCAATGACGTTTTTGATGACGTGCACGATGACAACAACAGTGATAAAGAAGAGTGCTCCCGTGAACAATTCGGCAATCGCTGTCCACTCTGAGCTCTAGCTTCAACTTCAGTTGCCTCACCATTATAAGATGAACTACAACTTGTGGAATTGGAACGAGAAATAAGAAGAGGCGATACGATACGACTATTCAAAGGTGCTCGACGACCATCATCACTGCTCCTTGCTGCTGTGCTCCTCTTTCCATTCCTCCACCTTTCACTATTATATTCATAATCATCACTATCATATTCACTACTGTCGCCTTCTTCTTCTAATCGTGAGCCTAAAACTAAACTTTCGTCGTCGTCGTCTTCTTCTTCCTTCGATCGTTCGCCTCTCTCAAATTGCATCATTCCCTCCAAACGCATTTTCATTTCAGGTGATATGCCAAATCTGGACCCACATTCATTCACTCGTCCTATTTTCGCTTCTTCTGGCTTTTCCCGCAGCACTTGTTGCTCGACAATAAGCTCATGCTGTTTACGTGATGATGATCGTTGGTTGCTGCGTTTATGAGCACGGCTAGTGTTTCGATTAGCATTTCGACTACGATCACTGTTGCGGCACTGAATCGGAAAATGCTCATACAAATGAATACCAACATTATGACACTTCCTCTTGTGCTGTTTCTTATCACTATCATTTATCATCATCATCATCTTTGTTGTCGCATCAACACAGCGATGTTTTTCTGGTTGTACCACTGGCTCTTTTCGTTGCAACTCTTCACTGATTATCGATTTTGACGATGATGCTACCTGAATAGAAACCATATCCAATTTTATCACAATCATCCACATTTTCGTAACAATGCATCATAGAAGATTGGTTAATGTTGAAAAATCATAGCGTTGTGAGTAAAACAAATAAGGATATTGATCAAGTTCAAAATCGAACCAAAAAAAAATTCAAACAAAACAAACTTGAGAATAAGACGGTGGTGGACTTCTGGATTCCGTTGTTGGATAAAAATTTTGAATAACTGCAGCAGTAGCAGCCGCTGCTGGCTGTAACTGATTCAACAGATTCGCTGGTTTCAGATTCTGATTCGCACTCACTGTCTGCTTTACGTCTTGTTCAGTCCTTTGACGACGTCGTCGACGACGAGAGTGATGATGACGACGATTTTTGCGTGACAATGCTTCGGTCGCCTCACCGATAAGCTGATGTCGACCGAGAGCCGAGCGCGCTCCTCTTGAAGCCGTCACATTACCCGCTTCTTCTTTTCCGCCAGCCGCACTTCGCAGACCGACTCTACCCGCTGCAGCTGTGCTCTTCGTAGCACCACCAACATCCAGCGCATTGCTTCCAGCAACATGATGCTGCTGATCGTAACACGCTTGTTGTTCGTTTGCATCCGCTGTTAAACGTAATATTTTTATCATGCCAGCCGGCTTCACCACACCGTATGTTGATAAACTGAAATGTGCAAAATAAAATAGGCAAATATTCATGTATACATTTTTTTTCGTGCAATATTCATGCAAATATTTTTTTTCATTATTTTCAACAAGCAAATGAATGAAAGAGCAGATAAATAAATCACAAACCTAGCTGCAGATGGTGGCGGTGCGTAGAAGTGTTGCTTGTATTCTTCCTCATTATCATGATCGTTATTCGAATATCTCTTATCACCATTCTTATTACCGGATTTGTAAAGTTGCCGCTCACTTATGCCATTATTGCTGCGACGATGTTGTTTGATAATGCCGCCAATGATATGAGTGAAATTCTTTTTCTTACTACTACTTTTATTCTTATTAATCTCATTTTGCATTTTCATCCGGAAACTATGACTAGCGTTCTTGCTATTGATAGCAACCGCAGCATCGGAAGAAGAACAGCGACCACTCAAAACGGATCGCTCGTAATTGGTTAGGCGTTCGTCGTAATTTCTGCTGAACGCACTATGACCATCATCCTCACAACAAACAGCTGAATTGGGTGGTGGTAGAGCATTATAGAGTATTGATGAAGACGTGCCTAAACCGGTTGTCGTCCTCGAGAAGGTGCGTAGCTGCAACTAAAAGATGGCAATTCATGCAAATTGAACTCATCAAGCACATGAAAATTTGGTGCAAATCAATCAAATCATACGGCTAAATCTAAACTAAACTAAACAGCCACTCTAAAGCTGTCTAAAATTCGGACAACTTGTTCTTTGTTTCTCGCCAAAAAATGCAAGCAAATGACAACATCTACCTCGACTTGTGTTCCGTCTGAATTTGCTGGAAGCAGAACGCGTGCCTCAGCACTCGGATTCAGTGCCGCTGACTCGCTCATTACGCAGTGCGAATATTCGTCGTCGGCAGCAAGAAGATGGCGACGATTTCTATTCTTTTTATGAGAACGAGGATGAGCATGAGAATGAGTATGTGCATGCTGTGCACGAGTATGACCATGCACACGACGACGACTTGGTGCTGCTGCTGCTGCTGCTGGTCCTGCTGAGCCGTTATTGTTGGTTGTCAAAAATGTGAACGGCGCTTGTTGACCGCCCGCCATAACATTTTCACCACCATCCACCACAACACAACAATTATTATTGTAGAATGGCTGCGTGGAATTGCACGCTAATGATAAATTAGCATTAGCCATCGTACTGTTCGCAGCGCCAGCACTAGCAGCCATACTCATGCTCATCATCATCATCGTCATATTTTCCTCATCACTGCGTTGCTGTTCCAGTATAGTTGCCCGTCCTGTTGTAGTCGTAACTTGAAGACGTCTTGACGATGTTGTCAGATGACAACAACATACCGATACACAAACACAAATCACCACAAATAATATTATCATTGGAATCAGCATTTCGAATGAACCCAATAACGTTGTTTCGGACGGTGACGATGCTGACTTCGGACGTTCTCCTCCTGCAGTATCCGTCTGCGAGTCACCTTCTGCGAGAAGCGCATCGTCGAGAAACACCGCTGAACCACCCCTTCTTCTTGATCCTATTGCTGCTGCACCTTCCAAGCCATTATCTCTTCCTTCGGTCTCGAGGCTGGTGTCGTCGTCATCGCGATTCACCACCACCTCTCTACTAAAGCCTAAGCCGCCATCAATGCCACCATTAAATGAAGACGGATGACGACTCGAGTCACCGCTTTCACGATCATTACCCATCGTCAAATCTGAACAAATCTTCAAAACGGAACAAAATAAGAAATAGGATGAAAGATGAAAAAGAAGTGATCAAACATCTCAAAGAACATAAATACCTCTTTACTTTCATCTGAACCATTTCCACAATTTGCAAAACCATCACATAAGTTTGAACGCTCGATGCATTGCTCCATTTCCTCTTTCTCAATAACTGAAGTGAGAGAGAGAGCTAAAGTGGACAAACGTTGGTGACCAGCAACAAGAGGGATCTCGAAAACGGTGTTAAGATTGACCGCTAAGGAGACAGTGGAACCGAAGAAGCACGAAAACAATCACTGACTAAACTAGTGAGCGAGAAAATGATTCAGAAGAGACACATTTGCTGATAAGTTTATTAATAAGAACAGTTTTACTACCATAATTGGATAATTGATGATGGTGATGATGACGGTGATGATGGATTCGAGCACGATGACGAGCCATACTCACAATGGCGGCAGGACGAGTAGCAGAACGTAGATGATAATCGTAATCAGTTTTAATCAGTTCTTTTTGGAGCATACCACAATCAAATTCATTCGACGGATTCTCACAACGACAATGCGTTTCATCCGAGCTATCTTCACAATCGCTAATACCTGACAAACGCTTCGTGAACATTATTCATTTTTCATCTAAAACACGGTTTCTCCATCGGGCGTACTCGCATCCTCAACGGATGCGAGATGGTAGAACCACTTATTTATTCACTCTTTATTTGAGCAAATAAGCAACAGTTCTGGATTTAGACCTCACACGTAGAAAGAAACAGCAACATACTATAGTCACCGCATAGGATGTTCTGGTCATTTTCTTGTATGCATATAGATGTATTTTGTGGACATCATTCACTTTTTTTGAACAGATTCTTTTTTTTGAACCGATTAAATGGCATGCACATAAACGTATGATCAATGAATAGTTTCAAATGAAATTTACTCACCGTTGCATAACAAACGTCGTGCGATAGTTGTTTTTCCGTCATCACAAGGCCAACTGTGCGGGTTTTGTATATTGCGACAGTGCGCCTCATCACTGCCATCCAAACAATCCTCGAATGCATTACATTTCATCGACAAATGAACACACTGTCTGCCATCAGCACATTTGAATTGCCATTTTGCACACATCATATGCTCATAGCATATGCTACCACTGAAAAGTTCTTTGTGAGAATTCAATGACAGTTTTAATAAAAATAAGAACAAACTTTGGTGTTTGCAGAGAATAACCAAGTGGACATAGGCATTCAATTGGATGTGTTGCGTCTTTCGGTATTCGACACATGTGCGAGCAACGTGATGTGCTGCAGGTGCGTGTCACCGAATCAACACCAATCACGCTTAGTGCAACTATACGGCGCGTTTTCATCACTGATTCCGATGACCACTGTACCGAGGATGATTCGCTTTCTGGCCGTTTATTACTCTTCTTCTTCGTCTCATAGAACATTCGTGATTTCAGTTCTTCTAATGTGACCGTTCGCTTCAAATCATCTTCTAATTCGATCAACGTGTTACCTTCATACCTTAATAACAACCCTCACAACTATTTTCTAGCAACAACACAACAAATCAATCAACTAACTCTGATTCATTTCTGATGATAACAATCAATCTCTTATCACTTATAGGCGCCATCTCAATTGCATCCAACTCATCGCTTTGCACGTGATGTCGAACATCCGCGAAAACGTGCACATCACGAGACCATAGACCTTAAAGTATAGTATCATATAATGCATTATGATCATATAAATATTAACTCACCATTTGCAGTCGTATAGTACAGACGATTGTTTGCGTGGTTCGCATGTAAACGAACAAATGACGTTAGATTTGGTGTGTCCCATCGCACACAATCACGACCATTCAAAAGACACCGCACAATCAACGGTACTTTATCGCCAACATCCACGTAGAACAGTAAACTTAATTATCATTTATTATTATTATTATTATTACCATTTGAATGAATAAAAAACCAACTTCAGTCCTGGGAAGATAACAAACTGTCGAGGGTATGGTGGGCGATTTGTAAGTGACGAACGTTCCCTGCCCGACACAACTACACCAATATACTGCAGATTATCATTATCCTGTAATAATAATAATAATAATAAATAATAATAATAATAATAACAAAACAACAATGACAATAAGTCACCTTAATTCGCCAAACATGAATGGAAGCAGCACGTGTATGACTAAGACCATGTTCAGCGCATGAAACAAATAACTGCCGATCAAGTTCATCAACAGCCAATGCGAACAGAACTATACAACCGGAATGTCGTGAAAGCGAAATTGTTTGCGTCTATAAATTTATTTAATACTAATAATAATGACTGGTGTTGTGCGGGGAATTCCCGAATTCGGCGTTCACGTCTCCGATCTTTTTGGAGCCGCGGCCATTTTCGGGGACTGTCTTCGTCCCCAAAATGTGCCCGATTCTCCCCGTCTCCGACTTTTTTCCATCCCCGCACGACACTAATAATGACAATAATACCAACAATAGTCATAATAGAAACAACAACAGCAATGACGCATCAACAAGTGAATAATATTGACTCACCACAGAATTGATGCCCGAATCTGAGGCACGCTTCATAAATTTATCATCATGCGAATTAATCCAATAAATTGAACGATTCGCTGAAAATGAATCGAAACCAATCGACGATGGTGTTCCGACATTCGAGATCGATAACGTTGTGTAAGCATCCTTAAAGTTTATTTATTTGAATACAAAATAATCAATCAACAAAAGTAACGGATAAAGACAAATAAACAATCCATACAACTCAAACGATAAAACTAACATGTCTCCAAGATAATTTTGATGAATGCATTTTTCTCAGATTGAAACGAATGAAACGCCCTCTACTAGCCATTAACAAAAATTTTCGAGGGGCTGCAAATTGGAAACTTTGTTGAAAGTCATTCAGATTAGCGATAATGGTTATCTGATTATCATATAATTTTTAAAAAATTTCCAACGGTTCCATTAATGATAATCAGAAAATATGAATGAGTACAATAATAATTATCGATAACAAATAACAACAATAAAACATAACAAAATGAAATGAAACTCACGAATGCATTTTTTGTTCGATTCATTCGTCGTAAAATGATCATCACACAAACACTTCACCGATGTGTTGTTGTTAGTATTGATATTATTATTAGTATCACTATCATAATTATTCTCAGTATCTATTTTCTTGAGTGAAGTATTTATCGGAACACAAATAGCATCACAACCACCATTGTTATTCACACATTCATTCCATCCTTCATATTAATGATCATCACAATTACACAACAACAAAACAACACTAACCTTTGGGAGCACTTCCGTGCACGATTGCCAACTGATTAATGTTCGTCGTTGTGAAATTCGAATGTACAATATCGATTTTAGCAGTCTCTCTATCATAAACTTCAATACTTCGTGTTTTTGCATTCCAATAATAAATCCTCTTTTGATAGACTGACAACGAAAACGCTTGAAAACGTTCGCTTGACAATAATTGCATGCGATTTGCACCTGAGAAAAAAGATGAATAAATGAACATATTTAGAGCAAAAACGAAATAAACCACAAAACTTACCATTAAAATCAGCAACATAAATTGTCCCAATCGAATCACCCACACCACTATCATCAACTTCGCTCCAAACGATTAAATCCGAATCAAAATCAATCGCGATCGCTTTCACCATCAACGAATCGCGACGTTCGCTGATCACTACTGGACCACCGCTCCGATGTCCTTCCAGCGGTGACTTCTGATTTATACACATAAACAATGAATAACAAATAAATAAATAAGCAAATTAACAAATAAACTCACATGTATCACAAGATGATTTTTGTCAATCGCATTAACAAAAATGAAAAATAATTTCACGGGATGTACAACGATGTGACGAGGCTCGACACTTTCCCATACGATTGTTCGATGCCTTTTACCGTTTCTGTTGATTATTTCAATTCGCTTCTCATCTTCATTACACCTTAATATTCGTCAGTCACTTCACTCTTAATATTCCATTGATAATAATAAATAAATTAATTAATGTAACAATAATAAACAAAAACAATGAATCATTAACCAATAAATATTTCCAGTGATCCAATCAACCGAAATATAATTCACTGATGAAACACTCTCAGTTATTGTTTTCATATCAGTACCATTCAGATAGGAACTACGCAAAACGTACAAAATAATATCACCACGTTGTAACTTCTCTTCGCTAATCCAAAATATTCGTTTTGAATTCTTGAATAAGAACGATTATTATTATCATTATTCTATACTTCATTTATTTATTGATCACAAGCTAGCTCCACTCTTCATAACAATAACGATGACATTAATAATAGTAACGATAATAATAAAAGACAAATAAATCACCTGATCAATATCAAAAGTTATAAGTGTTGAAAGGCTCATATTCGCAATGCTAATTCGTTGATTATTTGCTGGCGTTGGTGCTTTTTCAAGTGATATTCGCATTAAGTCTGAACCAGCTAGACCATGTATAGTATTTTTATTATCATTATTAATGATCGATGGTGCATATAAAATGAATGCTTTTGGCATTACACACGACTTATTATCAGCACGTAGCTCGTAGCCCATTGCGCATAAGCATCCACGATTTCCATCTGGCCTGAACATTGAAGTTTTCAAACGAAAATAAGAACAAACTTTTTGAATACGAAATTCTCGTTTGTATAATACAAAAGAATGAAACTTAAAATCTCGAACAAAACCGAATAAAACAAAAGAAAATAAATACTAACAATTTTACACATATATGCGCACAATCACCATGATTCGTTTGGCATGGCGACAAAGATGGATAAGAATATTTAACATTATTCTCACTCACTTTCTCAGCAACCGGAGGCGTTTGGTCGCCGAGACTATTCAGATGAACAGCTTGAATACCCATTTGACCGAAGATTATCGAATCAGAAATTATTTTCATATCATCGCTTTTATCAATCCTCAACATGCCCTTATCATTCTTGTCACCAACCGTTCCACTATCACTATCAGTCTTATCACTACCTTCCAATGTACTCCACTCTGTTCCATTCTCTCTCTCAGAATAATTCTCTTCCGCTTGTCTTTCTTGTTGTTGTGACTGTGTTCCACGACGCTTATATGACGGTATTTTTAACGCACAAATTTTGCGTCCATATAATGAATTCACATATAATGTATTGCCTACAAATAGTAACAACGATAAATTAATGAACAAATAAACATTCAGTCACCAACCAAGTTTTGATATTGAATATGGATGATTGATTGCTGTCGACAGAATCTGAATATCTGATCCGTCGTCAAGTGCAGCTGATTTAATGAGTGAATGACGACCCTCCACCCAATAAATACGATTCTGATCACCATCTACGGCTATACCGTTTGGCCAGGCGTCTTTCTCCAACGCTACCTGAAAGTAATTCAATAATTATAAAAATAATAAAACACGAATAAATAAATGAATAAAATAACAGACAGATCAACTCACCAAAACTGTTCTATGTGTACCATCCAACCAAGTCCGTTCAATACGACTTGTTGTTTCGTGCCAATCCGAAAAATACAAATAACCCGCATATGGCTCTATCGCTAGACCACGAGGCTGTTTTAAACCATCTGATATTATAGTATGACGATATACACCATTTTTCTCGTCCAAACTTTGTATCTGAATAATAACAATAAAAATAATACCAATAGCAATAATAATAATAATAACAAATCACAACTGATGTTAACCTTGATCTGTGGCATATTCGAATCGAACCAATATAAATTGCGATTCAACCAATCAATCGTTAATGCTTCAGATTTGTGATGAGTGTTACTGTCAGCCAAGTGATCCTCAACGAAAACCCTCTCCAAATTCGATCCATTAAAATCACATCTTTGAATCGATCGCGTTTCAGCATCAATAAAATAAATCTTCTTCTCCACTCCGTCATAATCAACATCAACTATTTTCCACTCTTCCATTCCATTCTTATTTTGATCATTATTATTAGCAGTAGCAGCGAGTTTGATCGGCAACGGTGTATAATCATCGGTATCTAACGATATATAGATCAGTCCTGATGTCGTCGCTACCAATAGAACTCGATCAATACCTTGAGTGGAGGATGAGAATAAGATTGACGTTCGTATACAACAATAACGGCACATCAATAATAAATTATGAAATTCTCTTCATCAAATAACCAACCACTCGGCGCGCATGTCAAACCATTTTCTAAGAGTTTCACTCCAATCGGACATAAACATGCTCGCCAAGGTGCACCCGCTATTAGAACGCATATATGTGAACATCCTCCATTCCCTTTTGCACATGGATTCGGTGAAATTCCTATCATTTGCTACTGTTTCATTTCAACAAGATTAATAATAATAATAATAATAATAATAATAATAATAAAATAATAATAAAATAATAATAATAATATTACATACTCGGTGGTTGTGACCGCTGGTCAAGCACTCGTAATGCCTCAATGCCTTGTGAATGCGCTAAATCTCGCATTGTTCCTCTACAATCCTCTATCTTGCAGATGGTTATTCCAGAATTTTGACTACTTACCGATGTCCATATTAACAAATCCTTAACAGTAATTTCCAACATTATAATATACATATCACCATCATTATTATCATTGTTAGCATGCCATTATTGGTGCTATTATCATTCTCCTATGAACAGATTGATTCCTATCATACAGAACGTTAAAACAAAAACACATTCTCGACTAATAAAATCAAATCAATTAAGTACAATTGAACGCACATCGAAAACACCCAAACTGAAGGCGTTCTTCACTCCAGAGACCACCACTCTACACGATTCACGATCGTACAAATGACAACTCCATAGTTGTGAATCCTCGGTTGACATCTTCGTACGTGTATAATACAACTTTCTTGTTCTCTTCAATTATTCAAGTAATTATAATAAGAACAATTATAAAAATAATAAAACCTGTTCAAGGGTGAGTGCAGCCGTTGTAATCACGTCCGCTGTGTCCTCCTTAAATGGATACGCGTCATGATGTCGTCCATCCATCCATGCGCGTTCTATACGTTTGTGTACACGATTCAACCAATACATATATCTGAAATTGATAAGTGATCACAATGAAAATGATAAGTGATGACAGTAAAAGCTTACCCATCTAAAGGATCGAGTACCAATGAATGTAACGCATCAACTCTAGCAGTAGTAATCGCTGCATGATAATTTTGAGGATATGAATTCGTTACTGTCGAATGTAGTATAATCGCACAATAATTGTTTTCAGTCATCGTCAATAAGCAGACTTCAATACGTCCAGCATTATGAACACTCGCTGTTTCTACACCCAAATAGAGCTGATTCGTTATCCAGTCAATTGCCAACGAAGTGATCGTTTCTTCAATTATACCACCGCCAGTATTTCGATTAATATATGTAGACGATGACGAGATCGTGCGATGAGAGGGCGATGATAAAGATAACGACAATAATGACGGTGGTGCGGAGTTGGCTTCCGAATGATGATCAGATTCGTCGTTTGCTGATGACTTCGATAATTTCTTCTTCGTACGACTACTCTCAGTTGCATCGTCGGCGATTCGAAATGTGATCGTTCGAATTTTATCGCTTAACGAACGTGACCAACTTTCCATATAAGCTAAAATACCCTGAAAGAGAGAAACAAAGCGAATGCTACGAATGAATGGATAGATGCCGATTATAATCATATATCACACAGCCGAACGAAATACACGTTCATTCAGCAAATTTTTTACGCTCTTTTTTACACTTTTTTACGCTCTTCTTACAAATTTCAAATGACTTATAGTAAGTAGTTAAACAAATTTGTGAACTATGAGTAGTAATAAGGATGAACTTTTGAAATATGCGCCGTGATAAGAACCGGGAATGATTCGTCGATTCCGTGCACGATATTCGTCGATGAAATGACCGCGTTCTGTTGCGTGTCAATTTTCGCCAGCGATATTGAATGCTCTCGTCGAACCACTAACGGTATCTCAACGCATCGTCCTACTGCACAAACCAGCGATTAGACTTAGTTCGAGTGTCAATAAAATAAGCATATTACCTCACCTTGCAAAACCAACAAAAACGTGCATTGCATCAACATGCCTCGTAACATTATTCTTTTTATTTTTACTAATACTGGAAAGCCATGGTCATTGTTTTCTTGCTCTTTTTTCGCTTGCTACACCCGTTTAGAATGTCCTCTTCCTGAAAAATAACACAAATTACATCGCAGATGATAGAGAAAATAAGTAAAAGAGAATGAAGGAATTACCTTTTGCACATTTCACATCACTGCTACAATACATAACAACTGAAGCTTTCATATGATCAGATGATCACTTTTATCACTACTTTCATCATCCATCAGTTCTTTAACATATTATAAATAATTATTTCTTCATTTGTTTATCATCAAATAGCATTCAAACCTGCAATTGCAGGACATTATCATGCTATTAGTAAATTGTTCATATTACTAATACTGTTTCCAAATAATGACAACAATAGAGGAACAAATCGGATAAAAACAATAAGTGATAAACACGCATGAAATAAATAAACTAGTTTCTATGACAAATGGATGGATATCGTCAATGAATGATAGATGGATGTCTTAAATTTGAAACAATCGCACGCTACAAACTCACAGATAAAATAAAAGTGTGATCTGACCCTTGCCAAGCTTCACAACATCCCTCTGAGGTTACACGTCCAGCTAACGCTAAATACAAATCTAGATCGTCTCAATCTTCACACCAGTCAAACCGAAGTACAGTTCAATTCAATGATCTAAACCAAAATCACAACAACCAATTTACACTAGAGAAGGCTGGAGTACCATATATACATCACGCTCCACATCACAATAACCATCATTATGAAATGAATCACTTCCGTTCAATTGGCTATATCAGTAGAAGGCGTAACCATGATTCTTTCCAGGGAAAGGCACAAAATGTTTTGGTCCCAAAAACGTTTCTAGTAAAACTAGCCAAAATACAATCACGCTGAATTAGTCCAAAACTGATCCACAAATTCGATCGATCTTCTTACTTTTGATTGAAGCAGATTGTAGGGGGTAAGGTAAAGGCCTAGTTTTATACTCGTTACTCAACTGTAAAATTAGCCGTGTTTTTTCAACGTCTCTTGTACTTGCTTCTTGTTGATTTCCTTGCTCTCTTCTTGCGTCCCCCAAGCGAGGGATGCGCTCTTCCCTTGGCTATTTCTATCGTTATCGGCACATCACCACACACATTACTACGCACTAAAATTTCCATTAAAACTATCACGTTTACCGAATCTGTCGATCTTCACATAGACCAATGTAACCAGAATGATCAGTGCTTATGAAATATAAATCTGCACTGCTCTGTACAATTCAGAAATATTGTCAATTATCATTTTACTTTCTTTGCTCGGCTGTATACAAAATATGACATTTATATAAAGATGTTATTTGTAAACTGTAATGTATTCATGTGTGACTGTGTTCAAGAACACATTCGATCAAACGAAACTGAAATTACGTTGGATTGTGCTTAAAATTAGCAGTCATTTATTTTTATTTCGCAAAATAGGAGACATTTCATGCGATATCGCTTCACAAATGAAATAATAATAGCAATAATAATAGTAATAATCACAATAATAATACTAATAATAATGATAATAGTAATAATAATGATAATAGTAATAATAATGATAATAATAATGATAATAATAATAATAATAATGATAATAATAATAATGAATATGATACAGGAACAAAATGATGATACCGTTAATAATAATAATAATAATAATAATGAATTATAGTGAACAGACTGACAAGCTGAAGAGTAGCTTTTTAAAAAATCAAGAGCAAAATGAAGCCAACCTCATCATTATCACTAACGAAAATGCTCAAATAATCACACGCAACCGACAAACCGAAAATCGACAACAATAACAATAAAAAACAAACCAAACGAACGAAAAACATGGGCCACAAAGAAAACTCATAAAAAATTCTTTAAAAAAATAAAAAATTACAACTCTGAAAACCGCTCACTGCTGACTAGTCATCTTCTTGACTTCACTAACCGCATCCACAAATATAATCGTTATAATATAACAATAACCTTATTAATATAATATCAATTATAAACAATCCAAAAATAATTCTATATAAACAGAAACATATACAGAGAAATAAACTCAGTACATTATATAATTAGTAATACTGAATGTTGAAGTCGAATCAAATCATCTGCTCTTCAACGCAAACACAAACACACACACACACACACTCCCTCTCTCTGTGAATGCCGTCACGCCTTCTTGAATACAGTGATAAAAATATTATTATCACCATGACAATGATGGTAATAATAAAATTGAAAAAAATCACTCATAAAAATGTTCATGCATCCTTATCAATATCATCTGATCGTGACGATTTTATACTTGAATGCGAGTGCGACGGGCTCATCACCCCGGTCTCTTCCAAATGCTTCCTTGTCAAGAATCCTCTAAAATCATAAAATATATCAAATTCACTCGAATTAATTCATGATCAAATGAACACAACAACAACCAACCTTATATGTGCCTGTATTTTTGTGGCTGCCTCATCACCTTCCTTCCGCATGCTTTGCACGTGTTTTCTGGCCAAGAATCCACGAATTTCTGCTTGGATCTTAGTCGCTGCACGATCTTCTGGCGTGTCACGCTCAAGCGTATAACCGCCCACTGAGTGGCGTCTGGAAACGAACAAAGAACCAATCAGCACAACATACTTCCCCTTCTATTCCATATCGATGACTGACGAGTGATTTTCTATTCAACTATAGAATATCCGAAAAAAGAAACAAGATTCTTTGCGGGCATAGGGCAAAAGAAAGGAAATTTTACAAGCATTTTTCAAGAAGAAGCTGAATTAAGGAAGAGAATGCGTACTGTTTACATATAGAAAACAATTATACAGTTACACATAAACATCATGCAAACAGCGAACAATCAACCAATCAAACAAACTAACAAACAAGTGATTAACTCAAACAAACAATATTATATTCAACACAACAGACCCGAGGACATCAGCATGCTGACTATTATCCGTTTCATTATCTCTGTTCTGGATCGTCGTCATCTTATCAGCAGCATCAGTAGTTGATGGATTATTCAAATTGGCTGTTTCTGCGGCATCATCATCTCTTTTCAAATCTTCAATCTCCTTTTTCGATGAACAATCCAACGTTTTTGGTACGTCTGAATCATCACTGCTTTTCGCTAGCTCACTTCTCTCAGTTTCTGCTCCTTCACTGAAGGCATCGAAACATTTTATGACCACACCACTTTATTATCATCAAAAGTATTCATACTGATCCACCACTACCTAACTATTCACACGAACAATCACACTCATAATAACAATAACAATGCTAATATCATTACTAAAACAAGCAACAGTAGGTTTTTCAAAGGGAAAAACATATGCACTCCCAAATAAACTCTTCCTAAATTTACCAAATACAAATCGACCACTGGTGTAATACTATATAACTGCGCTCATAAAAACATTAAACAGTAATGAATACACACACTTGCACAACGAATGGATAACACCACATAATCTAATGTACAATATAAAAAGCACACGGGCATGCATGTGCACACACACATTTAAATTCAGTTATAATACAACAACGAAAATTTTTTATGCGAACAACAGTGGAGAATTTACGGATAAATTTTCAATCGTTACGCACGAATCGAACTGTTGAAATTTTGAAAAGAAAATTCCCTTTTTCCTTTTCTTTCAGAATAAAACTTTTCGTTTTGAGTAGAAGAAAACAACTTTCGGCATGTACTCGAAATGCTTACGGCTGTTGTGAGCTGAAACGGACAGAAAAAGAATCGCTTCCAAACACTCCACTCACTTCAAATCCTTCCGTGTATCAGCCACTTGAATGTGCTCATGTGAACGTCTTCGTTGCATGACCACTTCTGGCTTATCCAATCCAAACTTTTCAGGATTTGCACGAACCTGCAACTTATAGTAGTCATTATATGATCAAGAAAACAACCTTTTTTTCAAACAAAAAAAATAAGTACAATAAAAATAATCTCTAACTCATACAATATGTCCTCGAAATGCGGCTTGGATTTTCGTAGCTGCCAAATCCATTGGGCTTTGTGAACGTGGTGGCTGCTCTTGGGGACTATTATCTGTCCCAGTTGTTTGTTGTTGCTGTTGATACTAAAGAAAAGAAATAAATTATTGTGTGCATAAAGATTTCTTTTTTCCTCAAATTCAAAAATAATCCTATTATCAAGCTTCATAGCTAAATCAATCATTTTTTTCGCACCTTCATTTGTAAATCGTTTTTGAATTTTTCATAGAGTGCCGGCTCTTTGAGAATGTCTACCTCCTTACCACCTGAAAATAAACAAGTAATAAGACGTGATTTGATATGATAAGATAAGACAACCAAACGCTTGTTAATAACAATAGCCATACTAACAATCATGCCGACAACGATTCAGCAGTCATTCTGCCTGGCAGGCAACCACTCGTATGACCAGTACTGTGTACAATACATCATAAAACAACACGAGCGATTACTGCGTGAGACTATTTGTATATGAAGATGAAAAAAGTGTGTCCATTGTTTGTATTATAAAAATAATAACAATGATCTCTGAGAGGATATTTAATAAAAATGAAAATTTTCAACAAAAGCTACGAGCAAAACAAAATGTTTATATATTTGATGCATATGAATACTTGATGCATAATTCTAAACTTGAAATAATACATATTCACCTCAAATTACCAATAAAAAAAGCAATAACAATATCAATATTAATAATAACAATATTAACAAAAATAACAATAACAATAATAGTTATAATAATAATAACAATAATATTTAATAATAAAGGCAGCGATAAACAATTTTTGAAAACAATCAAAAATCAGATAACCTATCAACCGATCAGACGAACAGGTGCTGCTATGAACAAAAATTTGAAAAAAGAAACAGATGGATGAACCAGAAACGAAAACATGGAAGGCTGCACTTTTAATTTTAAAAAAACTTATCACTATTATCACTGATGATAGTCATTGATGATAATGGTGTATTTTTAACTGCAATGATGGATAGATAATGAAGGAACATATAAAAAGACAGATGTTAACAGATAACAGATTTTGCTTAATGACGCAAACGAAAGCGATTGAGATGGGAAAAAAGGAATTCGATCGATATCACAAAACAAAACACTGCTGTGATTGACGTCAAAAATTATTTTTTTGCAAACGGCTCGATAGATGGATGAATTAAAAAATAGGAGCATATATAGATCTACCATGTACTTGGATATTATGGGTTTATCTCATCAATTAATTCAGTATAACACTTCATCAACTACAGCGTAATATTTTAATTTGAGAAATATTTATGTATTAAACTGAATAGAAATACTGACACATTGCATGCAAATATACAATAATAGTAATAATAATAATAATTATTATTATTAAGTGAAAAAGAAACTAACATTCATCACGATGACGTTGTAATTCCTGGAAGAATAGCTGCGAGAATGAGATTAAGTCAGTGGGTTGCGCCCTTAACGTCTCACGGGCCAGTGCTTCTAAAAGTGGTCTCAAGCCAGCTGGCACTTTGTATTTGTCAGCACTGCTCGCCTGGGCTGCCATTTCTTTCCAATTTTCGAATTTATTTCGTCGAATCGAAAATTTTATTTCAAATCGGCTAAAATTTTTACTGCGTAATAAAAGAACAATTGGAATATGACCGATTGAAAAATGCGTTGATGAACGAACGAACGAACAAGTGAATCAATGAATGTGAATGAATATTTTTTTAAATGAAACAAAAGCAAAAAACAAAAAATTAAAATGAAATCAAAATAAACTAAGCAAAATTCTACAAACCCAAAACCATATCAAACAAACAAAAGTGCTCGGCTCAATATTGACATAATATTATGGAATCATCAAGTTCATTCATCATCACCATTTAAAAGCTTCGCTTCCTTCCTTCCGTTCTCAATTCTCCAACTCCATTACAGTCTCATCTTATCCAATCATCAATGTCTACTTTTCTTCTTCATATATGAAGGTTTTATTTTTTCATGAGAATTTCTTGCTATATAGTAGACGTTGTTGACTTTATTAATTCACAAAGATTTCGTATCAATTGATAAACTGAGATTTTCGCTAACTCCTTCGTTTCATGATTTTACACAAATATTTTATCAAAATTAACTTCACATCGTACCACTTCTGATGATGATGATGATTAACACTGACTGACTGATTCTCTGCTGCATTTGCAGATACTTTGAGAGGCACAGTGAATCGATATGGTGAAATAAATTTTGAGACTTAATTTTTAGCACATGCACTGATGGAATTTAGCAAATAACTATATAAATAATATCACTGGACTATACGATTGAAAAAAAGGCTCTCGTTGTGGGCTGTTGATGAATTCATGGGAATCAGAATGCATATACATGAATCGAAGGATGAATGGATGCATGCATGGATCAATACACTTCATGAAAGCATCTATTCAAAATTATTATGTATGCATTACAGGCACGCATAAATTAATATCTGTAGATATTAATTTTCAAGTATTTTATTATTCATAGAGAAACCAAATGAAATACGATATTGATGAGATAAGATACTTCATAGTGGATTGACAATAGCGATCAAACACCCACCGATCGGAAACCAGTATTACGCAATCAAATATAAGTAGTATCAGAATCAACAGCTTTTCTTTTTTTTCGTTTTCTGGTTATGATCTGATATACACATCGATGTGTCAAGTAGTACTCGTATAATGAACAAAAACTTTGCTATGAATAGGTAAATGAAGAATCAATCAAACGCAGATCACAACACAATTTATTCTACAGAAATTGCTATCTTCCACAATGAATAGCGATCGAAACCAGTTTCTCAGCTGACGTATCAACCATCCATTCGCTCAACATTTTTGAGTTCTCAACAAAAAAAACGAGAAAAGCGAAAAGGAGTTCGACGACAACAATGCAACTCGGCGATTGTAACCGTAATGAGAAGAATCAAAAATGAAAATGAAATCAAATCTAACTTCACCAAAATCAATTAATCAAATAAATTCAAATGACAACTAGTTTTGGTCCAGTGAAAAAATATTTAACGAAAAAATAGATATCACATTACAGAAAATGTCATCCTCATACATATTACAGAATCAAATAAAAGAGTTCTAATAGTGATAAGGCTAATGTTAGTGCTGATAGCAATAATAATAATAATAACAGTAACAATACTAATACGAATAGATAAATATAAAAGTCGGAACATTAATTAATTATACGTTTAACGCTTAATGTCATTGTAGTTCATACGTTTAACTAATTAAATGTCACTGTCAATTAGTGATGGCATCCGACCGACATTCGGTCGAAAAAACCCGACAATTTCGGTGGGAATTCCGACATTCGGATTCGGACCGAACAATTTGGAAAGCCAATCGGAATTCCGACTGTCGGAACGATGAAAGTTTATGCCGATCGGATTCGGGCCGACATGAAAATGTCGCTCGGATGCTATCATGAAACCGCATCTAACAATAGCTTATGACTGAATAACGTATGTACACGATTTTACAGCTGTACTATCCTATAGATATGAACTGGATAATGAGGATAATCGAATGAACAAAAACTCATTCGAATGCTGCACCAATATATTGCTGAATGAATGACTGAAACGACACATGAACAGACTTTATTTGAACTATTACTATTCTGATCATTATTAATATTATTATTGTGCTTACAGTTACCGTTCATAACGCATTCTTTTCAGCAGTGTAATCAATCCCATCAGTGTAGAGTCAATAACAACATCACACAAACGCTTTCAGTCAAACACATATAACACATCTTTATCCGATGTTCAAAAACACGACTAGAAATAAACGGTTTTGTTCGCAAACATTCATTTCAAAGCAACACCAACCATAGCACCTGTCCCTTCAAGCCGTTTAAGCTGATGACGTTTCAATTACTGATAACTGTAGGCTTAGGCTGGATGGGTTATTCAGTTTGCTTGGTTACAGCCTCAACTTCACACTGAAGCTAGATGAGTTGAGTTTAGCTCAGCTAGAAACACACTAGCACTACAGGCGTTTACAGGGCACAGTCTTAATACTAATAGTAGTAATAATAACCTTTGCTGTAAGGCAGCATATCCTCTCTTCTCCTCTTTTTCACAGATAGTTTTAGTTACTCTATTATTCATTATCCATCCACCTATATCCTCTGTTTCTTTCAATAATATAAACACACATAAATATCTTTCTCCTTTATCTTCGAATATTATTTATTTTCATCTTCAGTTACGTACATACATATTTTTCAAGAATAAATTACCACATAAATATGTATCTATCCATGTACAAGTATGTGAAAATACAACGTGATGCAAAAGATGACTTTAACGTAGCCAAATGTGCTCATATTATACACAGCAATAGCATTGGCTTACTCCCATTCAAGCTATAGCATTATAACAAGTATTATATCACATATTACATTATACTAGATGTTTAATATTAATGTATAACTTAATACGATATAATATAATATAACGCTATACAACATCCTATTTTAAAAAGACAAAAAAATCAATTGCTTATTCGTGCTTCGTCACCTAGTTGCTTAGTTATGTGAATGGACAATGGCTTGATGAAAGTAGTGGCGATAGCAGCAGAACGAGCAGCAACAACGCTGCAAACAATGAACGTACAAATGAATAAATAAATAAACGGTGCAATGAATGTGAACCTCACTTATTGAGAGATTGCTAAACGATTCAACTGAGCGCAAACTAATGTTCAGTAGCCATTAGAAGCAGTGCCCATAGCCAAACAGCTTAGACGAATATACGGTTTAACCAAATCCAGAAATGACAAATTTCAAATGACTTAACCAACCATCCAGAGGACATACAGATGAACGATAGTCGTATGCTGCCACCTTCCTAATCTTATCACGATCACACAACTGATAACAGTAATAAGTAATAATAATAATAGTAACAAATGACTTGCGTCGTCTCTTCAGTGCAGCTGAACCTCAGTACTCATTAAATGGAGCAGTCGATCAAAATCTTGAGTCTAGAATGAAGCCGAAGTGATACACTTACACGAACAGTACCAACAAAAAATACTGACGGCTGTTTTGAACAAACATTAGATGATGCATTAATTATATGTAATCATATCAACAACACTATGACATACTCATTTATTTATTCATTTTTATATAAGTGTTATTAGCATTATTCATGTTTTTAATATTTAATACTAGTACAATAACAAACATAACTTTCTTGTACAAAAACAAAATCGTTCCAAATAAAAACAAGGCAACATAACATATATCAGATCATAAATTTGCTCGTAAGCAACAAATAATAACATAAAATAAAATGCTTTCAGCAAATACATAAATACACCCAACAGAACATGTCAAAATACACAGCCAAACAATTGAATTATTCAATAAATAAACACACCAATAATAAATAACAACAAACTCTTCACGTCGTTGCTGTTGCTAACAACTTCACAGCGCAACACAATTTGCGTACGCTAATACTTACAATCAATAAAGTGAAAGAATGTGAAAAAAGGATGGAATAATATAACAAACGAAAAATCTGCAACAGAAAATTGGAAGTGAGAGCGAGCGCACAATGAACATGGATAAATAGGGATGGATATTACGACAACGGGAGATCTCTTGATTAATCTGATCAATAATAAAGACAACGATTGCAACAGCAAAATCAAAATTCGAATTTAAAACAAAACAAATACGTATTCTGCCATCACTGTGAGTAGATCATTTTTATGTGAAGCACTGTCGTCATATGTAGGCAGTGTGATCATGTAAATAATGTATATGTAGCAACCTATGTTACAAATTGAACCGAAAAGCTTGATAATAATAATAAAATTAATAATAATAATAGCACTAAAAATAACGATATAAAACGTAATACTAGTAATAACAATAATAATAAAAATAACAACAAAGTAAAAATAATAAAAGCATCTTAATTATAAACGCAACAATAAAGCTTTACCCGTTTGAGAACTTCAATTAACACTGAATGAAAACACGAAGTAAGTAAAGGTAGCATTAATTATGCAAATATTAAATTATTATTTTCAATGATGGATGCAATTATATATCACATTAAGAATATTTTGCTTTCAAAATACATATTCATATGTATACTATCATCAACAGGATCGACATTATGTCGTCGATTAAACAATCAATTGATAATACCCGAACTGAGGCAAAAGTAAGTTATGTGAGGCAATACGAATGCTTGTCCAATTAGATCAGATATGAGATGATGATGATTATTATCAAACAATAATTTCACGCATGACACGTCTGGATCGGTTGTTGTTGGCATTAGCAAATGATAATGATAAGTCGTTATCATTCAAAGTCGCATTGATAATACTATTATCATCCGCATCGTCAATGTTCTCGTCAGACTCTGGTCGTATCATCATCATACCATTGCTGGCCTCAGCCTGATCAATCAACAACGTTGTTGATGCTGTTGTAGTTGCAGTTGCGGCTGATAACGACGAGGAGGTGTGTATTTGGGGCTGAGTCTGGAACTGAAGCGGTAATTGCTGTGGCGAAATCAACATTTGACTACGGCCATCTAGCATCATCACTCCGCCATTTGCAGGACGAACGGCTGCATGATGATTAAAACTGAAACTGAAATATTCATTATTTAAATTTAAATCAATGTGTGAAATATTAAAAAATTTTTTCTCTTCTCACGCTTCCGACGAAATCAAGTTCAAAATTTACCCATCATAAAATGGAGCCATAAACTGTTGATGATGAATATCACTAGCGTAATTGCCATCACACACATAACCATCGCCATTCACGTACGCATCATACATCATATCGTCTGTCGTCGTGCACCAATTATCCACTGCACAACCCGGGCCATCTACGTGGCCAGCACCATCACCTTCAGGACTTCTATAACAAGGTGAGCAAAATTAGCAATGTGCTGTCAGCTACTGAACCGGTATTTGCTAACAAACACAAAATAATTAGCGCAAAATAAAACAGTATTAGGCAACATTTTAAAGGAAACTATCCATGAGCAAGTACAAAAAGTATTGAAATAATAATAAACAAAACGATAATGCACAATTAATAATGATTCTTTAGAAAAATGATAACAATCGAACCAATAATAATAAAAATAACAAACAAAACAATTCAAACGAAAAACGCCAAACAAAAGTTCAAATGAGATGCTGATCACAAGTAATGGTGAGTGATAACCAACTAACATCGTATTATATCGTTGCTGATGCTGTTGATTATAAAATGGATTATTGAAACTGTGCTGTTGATTGATAAGCGCAACACAAATTGCATCATTCGAATTCGTAGTTGCATTTGTACTTTTTTTAGTAACACTATTAGTTTCATCGTTGGGCGATGTTGAATTAATTCGTTGCGATGCTTGTTGCTGATGATTAATATTCGAATAATTGCTCACGCTATTATTAATCATGCTCTGATTATTATTGTTGTTGCTAGCATTATTACCGGTCGCTGGTAAAGAACCAAGTGTGAATATACCACTATCTGTTTGTGAACCATGCACAATCGTATTTTTGGTTTCCGATTCTGGTAATTTTCCACCAGTAGCACAACAACCATTTGCTACGGTTCGCCTGCAAAATTCTCATTCTCAAAAGACTGTCTTACTATTCATCTGTTATTTATCATCTCGCTGTAACTACATGTTTTGGTAATACCATTCATTATTTCAATACATGTCCTACCTTATAAAATGACTGAATAAATAAACAAACCAAGCAACGAAACAAACAAATAAATACATAAAACAGTACAACAAGAACTGATCGACTTCAGTGGAAAACGGAAACAAAATAAAATGCAAACAAAAAACGAACATTCAATGCGGCCTCACCGCACAACGCCATTCAATTTTAACTAAACTCAATTCTGAAACTTACAGTTGATTCGATTCTACAAGTGCAATGAAGAAGCTACAATATGAATCTGTCAACGAATTAATGAATTAATTAAACACAATTCCATCTTCTCTCATCTTTGTCATTTCCTTTCGGTTTCTTTCCCCTCTACCAAGTTCCTAGCCAATGCGAACGGATTTTACTTATTATTTTTTCCCGCTAAACGTCATTTGATACTCCACACATCCGTCGTTTCCGCATAACCACCATCAAGCACTTTCACAACGAACGCTTTTCCCTCATACCCATTCTCGTTATACATTGATAGACATCTTACTTACATCAAATTAAAATCCAATCCATTTGTGTCTTAATCAATCATCCTTCAATGGATGAATGAAAACGAGCTTATTATCACGAAAAACATCGTCGCTCACCTTTCATCGCTTGATGACAGATAAGTTGCCGTTGTTGCAGTCGTTTTTTGGGATGATGATTTCTTTGTCGGTTCTTCATGTTTACCACTAAATCTTCGTTGCCTCGATCGACAACATAAGATCACCAACAGCAAAATACATAGCAACACAATCAGCACACATACACCCACTGGTATCGCATATTTCCAGAGCGCTGCACTCGAACCGCCCAATAAAGACGATGCGGCTTGCACTGTAATTAATCAGTTATGCATTCACTTCAATGAAAGGACTCAATAAACAACACACTCTCAAACCTACCTAAAACATTTGAGCTGTGTGAACATAACGAAACATCGTTTTGGTAACAAAGTCGAGCTGCGAATCGTTCAGCTGGCTCGATGTTCTTAATCGCTGATGTGATCGAAGAAGCCGACGATTCGATCGGATAACAGTCAACTGCTCGCCATGACCGATCATCAGTCATTCCGCTCCCGGAACGACGATGCGATTCATCATGCGCATTCACTACTCCGTTTCTGCTCATCCACAAATCCGAAACGCTGTTTTGCGCCAAATTTCGTTGACTACTCACAAACAGCATCAGACATAAGCTTTGCTGTTTTCGTTCGTCAGATGGTGTTATATTGCGTACTGACTGCAATTATTGTTGTCAGTCAAAATAAGTACAAAGCCAAACAAATTCATAAATAATCAGTCAAACAAGCAAAAGGACAAATGAATGAATAGAATAAAAGCGAATCAAATTAAAAAGCCGTTGGCTATACTCCGCACCTGGAAATGAATCGTGCCTTCATCTGTGTCGTAATCGAGCAACATTGGTTTCGGCAACAATTCACTTTCGGTAGCATCTGCAGTAGTGGCCGTACTGATTGGCGTCCAATCACTTGAACCGAAACCATTCCAAGCGCGCAATCGGAACCAATAACCGCTTTTTGGCATTAAATCAGCCATATTGTAAACAATAAATTCGGCTGATTTCATCGATCGTCGTTGACGAGAATATAGGCGATCGTTTGACTGTAATGCACTTTCAGGTGAACGTATTTCATTAGCATTTCTATGGCTATCACTGCTAATATCCTGCTGCAAAGAACATCCCGTCTCAACTTTTTACGTTCTCAATGATCAATGAATGATCTAATAAATAACCAAATATTCACCCAATAAAGTGTTTGTGTTGTGGCGTTTCGTGTCGTCACAAAAGCGCTGACCGGCTCACTGCCATCTGGACTACCCTTCCATGGATTAACTTTTCGATATTCTAGTTCAAATCTCTGCTCGACGCCACCATCAAAGCCCGGTCGCCAACCGATCAGCAACCAAGTGGATGAAAACGCGACCAAACGAATATCTCGCGGGGTTTGAGGTTTTGCTTAAAAACAATTAGTTCATACATACACACAAACAATTTCATATTAACACTTTCAAGCAATTGAAACTTTTGCTTTTAACAAAATTGGGGTGACCGTTTTATGAATACAGCATTGACAAAGAGATCTGGTGTAAAGAATAAAAGACAAGTAAAATGAGAAGGCGAACATGTGATCAGGATGGAGGATCAAAATGGTATTCGAAAGTATTGAAAAGACGAACTGCAAAGATATTCAAATACGAAATCGCCTAGTGGGAGAGAGGGCAGCTTGTGGAAAAGGAAAGTGAGAGCGAGAAAAATCTGGAGAACATGTTGTGGACAGCGCTAAAATGCTGAAAGTCTGACCGATCAACGAAAGAACAAAAGTTCTATCAATATTGAGACGATCGACTGCTAAACGACTAACATTTCGACTGAAGCTTGAAAATGATCGCTGTTGTCGTATCATCGGACGACATTTCACCAGTGCTACCTTTAGCCGAACTGCTATCATTATCAGCAACAGAAGAAATGCCATTTGCAACTCGACACATATATGACGCTGAGTGATCGCTTTCCGTGACGTCGGTGATCGACAATACGGATTCGTACTCATCAATACGATTCGCTAATTGTCTACTTTGTATCGAATATCGTTTCTCATCAACTATTTCTCTCGTGGTCGTCATCGCCGTCGAATTTCTGCCACTCAAACCAGCACTACCAAGAATCCAAACGAAACGCGGTGCAGGACGAGCTGAAGCCACACAGCGAATATGCGCCTTAAACACGTTTATTCATCAATCGTTTATTGCACAAGCAACACCTAATACAATAAAAACAAAACACTAACAGTTGTACTAAGATCAGCAGCAGCCAGACCGTCATCTGGATATCTTTCGCTGAGTATCACTGGCTTATGAACGATATTGATTAAAATCGATGAAGAAGATATCAAATAATTGCGTTTTTGTTTCATATCGGAATCAATCTTTTTGTTGCTATCCAAATCATTGAAATTATCGGCCAAGCACGAATAATTCCCCTTATCATTCCATGCTAATGGTTCCATAAATTTCAGCGTTGATTGCACCGCTATCGAACAATAATCACTCTTTGAACAACTGAAATATTTCTCCATTTTCAATATGTTTTACTACTTAAAGTTATTATTATCATCTTGAAGCCGTTACAAATTGTTAATATTATCTATCAAAATTGATATATTAAACAAAATAAGAGAGCAGTCAATCCATTTCACCTGCTTGGACGTTGTTCAGTGCGCACAAACCAGTGCATTTCATCGTTTGTGTTTAGCTCTTGTCCGTCTTTTAGCCAGCTTACTGATGGTGCTGGATAGCCTTGCGCCTCACACGAAATCGCAACGGCCGACGATACCTCACCCGCATTGAAGATGCGATTTGCGGGTAATGCACGCACTATTTTAGCTGGTTCAACAACCTTAACTTGACAACATTATCAGTGGATTCTCTCAAAGTAAACGTGAATTTATTAACCAAGCAGACAGAGTACGGGTTTCTCCTATTCTATCCATGTTTTCGAGTTTAGTCAGGTATGGATCGATAGCAGTTCGGCGCAGCTGGAGAGGATCATATAATAAGAAAATAACCATATTTTCCCATCCAAATATGAAGATTGTTATCAGATTTTATTTAAAATTCAATGAAAGGAAACTGATCGAGTTTCTAGATCCTAAGAACACGATACTCTAGCTATCCTGTTGCTTTACGTTAAAAGACGACTGCAAGGTACTTTCACCGAAGTTGAAGGCGTAATCACAACAGTGAAACAATAACACATGATAAAATGAAAACAATATTAATAATCGAAACCTGCAAAATGAAGACACCTTCTTCGCCTCTTCCGATACGATTCTTCGGCACACATCGATACTCGCCATTATCTGCTAGCGTTGCATGCTCCACTAAAAAAATGCTACTGCTATCATTTCCCTCCCCATTATTACTATTTGCATCCTCATAAGTTCCACCGCTGCCAGGTGTCGCCCACAAGTAAGTAGCTTCTGGACTGCCCGCATCATCCGCACGACACGTCAGTCGAACATGTTGACCAACAAGAATCGCTGAACTTGTCGCCGAAATTATTGCACGTCCTGGACGTCGAAGTACCTTAAGAAAACACATTCAATCAATGTAGTGAGATTAATAGTCAAGTCATGAGTGCTCTAACACTTACATTAATTCGTGTTATAGCTTCTGCACTTCTTCGGATTTGTTGTGAATTCGTACCAGTTTTTGCGTTGAACGTTGTTAGTGTGTTTGTTGCAGCACAAGTATAATTGCCCGAATGTCTTCTGAAACAAACACGAAAATCCATTTCATCTGAATAGCAATAAACAATTCACATCAAAAGCGATTCAGCTCATTGTCAATCAAACAATATCATCAACTAACTTTTCAATGTGATCAATCGTAAAACGTGCGCCCTTATGGGTGCCACCGTTCGGATCAATCCATATCACGTTTTCCGTTCCCGGATTACTATCTACCGAGCACTCCAACGTTATTCTGTCACCTTCTGCCGGAGTCACCATTTCCTTGAAACGTTTACTAGTATTACTATTATTATAATTATTAGTATTAGTATCAAGTCATTGTTGTGATTATTACAAATGTCATAAATGAATAGATTACGTCAAATTAAATAAGTTCATGTTATAACAACCTTAACATCCAAAATCGGTCCATACATAACATTCAGTTTCAGTTTATCCACTCCACTCTCAACACTATTCAAGGCTGTACAACGAAATTCTCCACTCAATCGTTTTTCTGCCGTAAATTTCCAAGTTGCTGCTGGATAGCGTTCTCCTGAATAAACAAACATAACAATATCTGAGAAGTCACAACCAGAAAAAGTTTTACACCTAGAAAACGATTGCAGTCAGCCATTGCAACAGTCATCTCATCTCAAGCTCTGGCTCGATTTACAACTGGCTGTAAAAAAGCATTTATTCGATCATTCATGGAAAATTGCTCAGAAGTGGATGGCTAGTTAGACGTACCGGTTGCAACGTGGTACCACTCGAATTGTGTTGGTGGCGGATTCCCGTCTGCCGAGCAAATCAACTCAACTTTATCACCTTCTTCTACGTTATATTCACGCACTGGACCCGCCCTAACCCGAGGTCCGTAGAGCACCTTCAAACGAATAAAAATTCAGTTCAGACACTTCATTCGATTAACAAATGTGATTAATAATTTTCTGTTTTTGAGCACTACAACAGAGTTGGTAGGTAGTCTGGTGTTGACAGTATTCCACTTACCAAATACCACACAAATTTTCACCTTTTTCAAGAAAAACCAACCCAAATGAAACGGTGGCGAACCAGAAACGCAAAACATTCAAATTATAATCCACTCACATTCAAACGATTTGTTGAAACCGACTTGCTGTGATCATCTTTCGGTAGTGCCTCATTCCAGACACGACAACTCAAATATGCATCATTGTCGTGTGCACCAACACGCCACCTAAAAACCCGTCGTCACATCAAACCTTTTCACCTATCTGTCCGCATGTCAATTCTCCGAGAAAGAACACAAACAAATGGAATGTTTCATTTTTTCGAAAGAAAAAATGAAATATTTCATGAAAGGGAGAAAAAAGTATTCAATTAAATTTCAGCTTTAAAAGCACAAAAAGAGAGCAACGCACTGCAGTAACGATTGTGATGAACGCGCTCGAGCCGATGAACCGTTATGGTTATTTGAGTTACGACGACTCTGCTGATACCAGCTATCTGGTACTCGTGTACCGTTCGCGAAAATCCATTCAAATTTGGGTGGTGGATTGCCGGATAGCGATTCACATTCCAATGAGACGAGTTCATTCTCGCGAACCGCATTTGAGGGTTGCGCTCGAATTGTTGGCTTTTCAGGTGGAACTGAAATCGACCACAGTGATTTTTTTCATAATTTTATCAGTTCATCAAAAAAAAAACTTTAGAAAACACGTTGTAATCTCAATAAAATTAAGATTGCAACTTTTGGAAGAGTACAACTTTTCAAACAGCAAATTAAGCGATAAGTAATGGTAGGTACTCTTCACATTTGCCTCGATCCCTGTCAAGCACCTTTTCTTTGCTTGTTTAAATAGACGATAACAAGGACGGCTAACAAGGCCAAGTTTATAAAAATAAATAACAAGGTAGGACAATCGGAGGTCATCATGGTACATCGCTGACAATCAACTACAACAACAACTAGTCAGTTAATCCAATAATTATATTACTACTATTACATGATATTGCTGTTCACTGTGAACGAATGACCTTTAACCTCTGGCTGTTCAACTACTTCCAAACCAAATAAATATGTAATTCTATTCTGCTGTTCATTATGCTCATCTTCAGCACATTTCAACCGTACGGTATACGCTTCAATCTATCGCCTAACAAACATATCCTGTCGTCATATGCTTCTTTAATCTATCCTCATAGATATCTACTATAGATAGATATTCAATTGAATTTACATTAAATTATCCCTTCTGATTCATTATTATTATTATTACGATTACCATTGAACCTATGAATAAGAATTACTGTTCACATCATCGATAAAAACGCGCACTCAATTACTGTAGCACCAGGCAATTTCAAATTTTCTTCACCTAATTGTGACGTTAAATTTCCGAAAATCAGTCAACCAAAATAGTTGGTGAGATAATAATAATAATAATAATCAACAGCAACAACAGTCATGCCAGGTCTATATTTATATATAAGTGTGTGAAATAATCAACGAACACAGGAAATGATGACCTAAGCGCCACTCGTTTTACCTCAGTTCCATCTTTTCAGCTCTGAATTTATCTTCGATCCCACTAAATCTATTCATCACTTATTCCGATTAAATTCAATTAAACTACTCAATCAATCAAATTCTACATACATAATAAAGAGGTAACTGGGTGCATGTATGAGTCTACAATTAAGCCACTTAAAGCCCTCGTCATACGATCAGATAAGACAAACAGATAAATACGTGAGGTTTCAGCACTTAATTAAAATTCGGATAAACAGACACACCAGATGGATGATAAATGAATTGTAGAGCGCGAATAAGAGAGAAAGAGCATTAACGAGGAAAATTAGCGCTGTTCACACACATATACCTCTGTTATTATCATTAGCGTGATATATTCCAAAATGTAAGACAAGGCTACAAGACCCTAGCAGATTAACGCTGAGATGAAGTTAATCTTTCACAGCAACATTATTTGTCAAGCTTCACCGTTCCTTGTCGCACAGCACCTGTCCTTAATTCCACTCATTCATTAGTAAATAAGAGTGCTTCATTATATATATCAGGTGCGCAGTATAATAGACGAATATGGCACATACACACATAAATTAACAGCTTACGATTGAATATCATATGTTGTATATTTGTATTAATGGTATGCAGCTATAATAATTCATGCTAATGTTCATTTATGCATATTGCTCAAGTGAAATGTTACTTTAATTAAAACTTCATTCATTCATTAAAATGATCCTTTTATTTTGTTTGCAAACAACCAAACTGAAGTATTTCAGTGCTACGATTTGCTTGAGTGGTTCATCACTCGTATCTCAACTACTCACCATAAATAAAACTCAAAATCACACTCATAATGTCACCTCATCTCTCCGTTGCAAGATATATTATAATACAAACCATTCACAATGCTCATCAAACACTCGTTTTGCCTTCGCCCTCTAAACTCTTCAAACAACAGTCACCTTAAGCAAACAACCAACAAAGTTAGTTGTGTATTCGAATTCAAGTACTTACCGATAAACAACAATACATATATATCATAACATGTATTATCATTAACATTATATGAATTTATACCGAACTGCACATGTACTAGTCAAATATGCATTATTCATATGTATACAGCGATAAAACGGATGTTCGAAGGCAGCTTTACCTCATTTGGAGAGCAGTTTAAATGAAGAAAATTTTCACTGACGATAACAATTCAACACATCAACTGCTCGCTGTATGAAATTCAAAAATATTAAAATAAATTAAATTAAAATAAATAAACTTTTCAGTTCTCAATTCATACACTCATCTTCCCACTAACTATGCAATTAATATTAAACACACTCTTCTGGGTTAGTATTAATAAAATTGACCCATCCCAATGGGGGTTATGTTTTCATGCAGCGCTCCTGGGTAGGGCAAATTTAGACTCATTATTAAATCTCTATTAAGATTTCGTGATTAGATAATAATAATGATAATAATAATTATTATTATTATGATAATAATAAATCATCTGCATATTTTGTTGTTGTAAAGAGTACAAGAGTAAAGAGCATATATATTAAAGAGTAAAAGTATTGTATTTGCACAATCATCCCAATAATTTCTTTTCATTCAGTTCTAACACACCACATTTCATATGTCAATCAGCACATGGCCTTTTCATCCATATCACTCATATCATCTCATCTACATATTTATGTATATGAAAATAATTCTTCGCATTATTATTATTATTATTATTATATATCCCCTAACGAAAAAAATGTGAGTGCATGTAATCAACAATTTCAAACGTTTACAATATTTTCTGCATTACTAAATCCATAACACTAGTTAAATGCTATAAATAGAAGTGAGAAAGTAATTTTAAGTAGGAATAAACTTTAGAAAACATACGCGCCGCAAACTATCTATCTATTCAGAAAGAATAATTGCTATTCTTGCGCAAAATTTTCTCCCCTGAGTTTTGATTTTGAGAGCATATTACAAGATTAACGCGTATTCTTCTCATTCAAATATCCATATATCCTCACATAGACGACATCCACATTGAAACGATATCACTCTACTATTATACAAACAAAGAACAACATCATCAACAACTACTAGTGTTGTATTATCATTTTCATTACTCTCGCTCAATGATGCAAAAAAATCATCATTTAGGTTCTTAGCCTCATTCGCGCAAGTTTGTAGGGATACATTTTGGGCAATTTTACTTCATTAATCAGGTCAGTCAGTAATGCAATTTCATTTCTGGAAATACTCATTCTATGACGAGTCAATTCAAAACGATTACTATTCCTCTCATGGTCATCATTATTACTATTACTCTTGCTGTGATCATTACTGTAGTGATTATCATTCTTCTTCCTCTTATTATTATAACTATCATAACCGTAAAGTTATGATCGATCGTTTGTGAATTCGTTCTCAATCGTACACAAACAACCAACTGCGTTTCACATGAACAGTCATGATACAGATATAGATTGATAATAAAGATAATGCCAACCATCTAGCAATATTTTATGGTCATATCACATCGAATCAAATCATGACATTCTTCGTTCGGTTATTTAGTCACTCGTAATATTAGTTCACTCGTTACTTACGACGATTATCCTTGCATAATACACAAATACATACACACGCATGTGATGTCGGGTAAAGCGGATTTAATGAATCCCCCTGGATATGCGCAACTCTCAACTGTTACCTGATAAAGCGGACTCATGATCTGTATCTCCGATGAACTAGTGACCTTATGGGAAGAAGGAAACTTGTGTTCATTTGCTTCTTGAAAGATCCAAGAAGCGATTCATTCGGCTGGGTATCGATTAGAATATTCCAAGAGAGGAGTGAACAAGTCAAACACTAACCAACAACAACCACGGTGGCTGCACAAGATTTTTGTGATCCAGTCTCTTTGTCCAAAATTGTGCAATAGAATTTTGCATTATCACGTTCCAACTCAACTCGTTTTATGCGTAAATTATACTGTGCCAAATCAGCACTCACCATCAGATCATATTTGTCCTTCATAAACGACAATTCGTTTCTGGTTAAATGCCTGAAAAGTAGCATCGTCATTTGCATACCATAACAATTACAATAAAACACCTAAAAGTTTCACCATCTCACCTAGGAATATCATCTGTAACCGCCGTCCAACTCGATTCATATCTGGACTTGTTCAGATATTCGGGCGCAAACGAACACTCCAACACTACTCCTTGCTCACCGTTCGACACATAATATGGCTCTGATTTTGGTCTTATCACAAACGGTGATGAACTCTCTGCAGATAATAATAATAATAATAACGATATATCCAATTAATATAAATATTAGCACTGTTACATCATGAAATCATTGTACCTGATTTTGCGGACGATGCTGTACAAGAGGATAGCACTAGCAGAGTTATTACTGCAGCTGTGGAACCATTTGTACAATGGATCAACGTGGATGCAGATGATAACAATGAAAAGATTGAGTCAAATGAATTACAGTATGACGAATGAAACTGTCGAAACAGTAGCAGCATCCTGCCTAAATCAGGCGAATATTCTCCGCTTAATTCAGTCCACAAGCTGAGTGACCACAAACAAGTTGATGGTTAACTGCGTCGTCGGTTGTATGAATTGTGGTCTAGCAACGCACCCAGTTGGCTATATCTTGCTGATTTTAAAATGACAGCTCGTCTACCAGCCAGTTTAACGTATTTCTGCCCCTAGAATATTTTTTTATTCGCAGTTGTTTTGTGATTTATATATTTCAAGACACGAAGATGTCCATTTGACTTTTCATTAGAAACAATAAGTCAAATACCTTTCATGCAAACTCTCACCACCTTTCTGAAATTCAATTTGACTGTTTTAAATAGAACTCAGATCATACAGTACAGATTATCATCAGTATTATTGTGAAACTGTTTATTTAAAAAAGTGCACATCTAACATGATGACAATTCTGCACGTCTACCTAACCATGTCCTCGCGGGAGATTACTAGACCCAGAATTGCAATTAAACTCTATTCTTTTCATCAAATATTGCTCAACTCAGGCTGACTAACGATGAGAGGGCAGCTGGGAAAATTTTTATGATGCACTTTTTGGAAGTACGCTCAAGCAAGTGAAAGATATCGTATATGTAGAGCAGATTAGAACAAGCATAGCATCCAGAACCAATCAAAATTAAAAACCCAAACAAAACGATCAGCAAGTCATTCTTAGTGTTGCAGTTTGTTGCTATCATATAGAAAATTAAATACTTTGCTTTCTATTATATGTATAAGGGTACATCATATGGTAAATGACATGATATTCATTTGTGTTGTATAATATTTGCGCATGTAATATTCAGTAGCTGTTACAAGTTAACAATATCTAGCATGAAACGATGAGATTATCTAGTACATCATCTAGTTCTCACCGTCAGCAATATTCATTCATTTAGAGGTGGACACGGCAAAATATTTATTCTATTCATAGATGATTTTAAAAAACCTGTGAATTATTTTGCAAAATTGTTCATGTGAATATATACATAAACAAGTAATCTACTAACAATAAGTGTTCACTTAAATAAACATTCAAAGAAATGAAAGTGTCATACGTAAGCATATACACCTGTATTTTTAGCATAACATTCTTCTCAACAAATAGAATCGAAGCAACCGGGTCAAAATGACTAACTGACCGACTATGTAACATATGGTGAATTTCACAGATTCGCGCTTCAATGAATAATGATAATTAATTTCATATATTATATATACAACCTAATTAAAAATTCAGATATGTTAATTTCATAAACTAATATATTCATAAAACGAATCAATTAAAAACAGACACACGCACACATAGCAACGACAAGAATATTGTGATCACAACTGTCATTGTTCTAACAAACAATACTCAAAATGAACTTCTTTCTGCTATGACAATAGTAACAGTTACAGCAATTCTAAATAATGTGAACAACGATGATAAATATTCACATATCAATCAGAATGCTAAAAATGCTTACGCCTACATTTCTTTCACTTATACTGTCATACAGTACAAAACGCACTTTTATGAATATTCTATCTCATAATAATATTATGCATTATTGTAAATATATGTTCAAAAAATGCTTGATATATCAAAAACTAACTAAACCGCTTTACTCTATTTTTACCCACACACGCATCATCTATTTCATCCACTCATTAATCAATCTCAAAACTAAATAAAACACAAAAAATTGCATTGTACTCACAAAATGAACGAATAAATAAACGAACACAATAATGAAATTACTATTGTGTTGAAAATGTCATTACTTCTCCTACAAAACGAATGAATAAGTATACAACAATATGCAAATGAAACAAGCATCCATCATTCTTTGTTCACAAAATCCCTCATATTTGACACTACAGTTACTCTGTCTGACTCAAGCTCTTACAACAAATACTGTGATAAAAATAATAACTCGATTACGCAAAACTTAAATCTTCTCAATCAACAACACAAATCCCGATAATCCTTTAAATCACTCAACAATTAATTACAAAAATGATCAAACATCTTAATAAAGGTGTCCTCGTGCAATAGAAATGCCCCACCCCACATACATACATATCAACCAGTACCTACCAAGACGCAAAATTGTTTTTAGTTTATCCTTAATATTATCCACAACTTATCCTTGTCAAATCACTCCCAATTTTATCTTTTATCCGGAAAGTACCTTCCTCTAATCTCAACTAATTTCATCTTTTATCCAAAAATTAATTTCACTTAGCCCCTTCCTTTCCCTCCATATTCCACTAAGAAAAAAAAAAACAAAAAATAAGCGAACAAAGAAATCAAAACATCACAATATGTGATGAATAAATAACTTTTACATCTGAGGAGATATACACATAAATATCTATTTGATTAGAACTATAGCTCAAAATCACGAACCTATTATCGTGACTGTTATCATTATTACAGGGTAATATCAATATTATTGCTGCTAGTAGTATCTTTATTACTATAATTATATATTCCTCTTCAAAACACATATCCTATGGTAATCTCGAAATTTCTATCTGCAAAAATAAAACTCCAATGTTATTAATGGATAACCACCAAAATTTCTATTCTACAACTAACATTATTATCACCACCATTACTACAATACAACATTACAACAACAACTACTACTTCTATTATTATATTAATAGTAATCCACCATATTACACAAAAACTTACAATTACGGATTACATCTATCGGATAGACTAGAGCAGCAATAGGAGGTGATCTAAAGGATAACACTAAATCAAATTCTAATTGGTCCAATCGGCCAATCGACCAGCATATGCTCTTAGAAAATTTAGTGCATTAGTCTTACATCTATGCCGCCACCTTGATTCGAACTTTTAAGTACATCTGAATTTCAACTCACTTCCAATAAACAGTGCAGAGTGGATGGATGGATGGATCAAAAAAAATTTTTTTAAGAATCTAACGAATACGGACCATCTAACGAATGCGACAGATAGATAGTCGTAATCTGTCAATCTATCTATATAATAATAACAATAATAATGTATATAAATATATAAGTATGCATACATGCAAAGATAACGATAAATTCACGACGATGGGTTTGTATCGCATGTGAACAGCAGATAGAAAATAACCTTGAAAAAGCACACTCCATTCGATGTTTCGAGGAGACCCTATTCGCTAATAATTAAAATACTTATGCTACAGCATGTAACTATCATACAATACTATCATTACTATTATTATCATTCTTATTATATTGTTATCTACTACATTTCTACCAATATCGACACATAATAATAAAATAATACGAACAAAAACAATAACAATAAAAACAACAATAGTAATAATGATACCGATCCATAAATATATGACAAAAAGACGCTAGTTATTCGATATTTTCATACAACCGTCTATCTATCTTAATTCTAATCAATTCTTAACTCAACAACTATCAACTAACCACTACCCAGTTACCTGTAAAATTCGATTACCTTTTGTAAAACAATCCGATCAAGGCAAGATGACAAAGATACACAATGCCAAAATGAACTGACTCATTCACTACGCACTTAATTTCAACTCACTTTTGTGCTTCACTGAATTTAACAAAGTCTCAAAGAAAAGATACGAAATTTCACACTTCGCTATAGTCTCATTAGGGAACCTTTCTTTCTCCTCTCCAATTGACGATAACAAAACCCGTCGTGCCTCGTCCCTCCTGTACATTTCGTTTTCATTTCCATATCTATCTGCATATCCATTTAATCCTTATCATACAACCTTCCCCACCATTTTGCTCCAAGCTATCAGTATGGTCACCACCTAAGCATCCTCCTACCCTGATGAAACCCTGCTCAATTCATCTACAATATTTCTTTACTATCATCAATATTATCACATCTAATCAACCAAACGAATAAAATCATGCGACTTAAGGCATAATCATCAACTTTTATCATCCATTCATCGTTTCATTTCTTATTCATTCATGCAAAAATGAATTGAATTTCTCTTTCTTCCCTTTCATTTCCTCTAACAACCATTCAAATTACATCGCACGCCGTATATGAGAATTAACTACCAATTTTTGAACTGATTTCAACTTTGCCTCTTCACAAACCAACAAACACCTTTCTTCCTTCATATGTCATCTTCTCTCCCTCTCTTCACAAGCTACCCACCACCCGCATTCGTCCACCTATCCTTCCTTCTGCTGTTCCATAGTCCATCATCATACTCGATCGTCATCACCTTTTCGATGATCGTACAACGTATTACTTATTCTTACAGATAGATAATTATACACACATACAAATAAGGAACAAAATGAATGAAACAAGACGAAAAGAATGAAATTTTGTGAAATATTCTAAACGATAAAATTAAATTAATTCTGCTATCTTTATATATATACACAGGTATAAATAAATCTATTCTTCGCTCTTTCACAACAACAACAATAACGACAATTCAATCGCTTTTTTCAATGTCTTCTCCTCTTCCACAATATTCCTATCCTATCCTTTGCTTATCTATCACCTTCATTCCCCATTTTAAACCCAACTCACGATTCGTTACTTGGTTTTTTGTTTCGCGAAATTTCCACTGATCCTTTTCCTCCGCTACTTTCTTTAGTGGTAACCATTTTTTGTCTCAGTCCAATCAGTCAGTCTCCTCGACGTGAGAACAACGACAACAATAATGACAAAAAAAAGATTAATAAATACAATACCACTATACCAAGTAGAACAATGCAATGGTTTACACCTACAAATGTCATTTGCTTTTGCCTTTATCTCATCTTATCTTATCTAATTCATCTATCAGATATTTTGCAAACATACAAACCCATCTATACAAAATATCTACCTGTCCAACAACCGCTGTGCGCTCACTCATTGTCCATTCCATCTACTCATTCATTCACTTACATGAAAAACAAAACATCCGAACTAAAACTGCAATCGAAATCAAAATCAGTATGAAATCAAATCAAC